GAGAGCAAACTCCTAGTCTCCCCGCCCACCTTCACTGGCCATTGAGAAGACTTCACTCTATGTGGTTGTCCCCCCATGTCATTACTGACCCTGCTCCAGAGAAAAGGAATCCAAAAAGCCAGGGTGGTGGTGCGTACCTGTCATCACAGCGACTCAGGAGGCTGAGGCTGGAGGATCACAAGTTCAAACCCAGCCTCAGCAACTTAGTGAGGCCCTAAGCAACTTAGGTAGAGCCTGTCTCCATACAAAATTTTTTTAAAAGGCTGGGGATGTAGTTTATTGGTAGATTGTCCCTGGGTTCAATCCCAGGTACGACAAAAAGAGAAAAGTGAGGAGGAGGAGGAGGAGGAGGAGGAGGAGGAGGAGGAGGAGGAGGAGGAGGAGGAGGGAGAATCCCAAAATTTGGGAAATGATCAGTGATGTGCCTTTGAGCCAACGCACACCCCCATCAGACCTGGACAATTCTGTTTGCCAGGCAGCCCTGCCAGTGTTTCCTGTGGCCAGACTTGTAAAATATTTCACAGTTGCCATAATGGTTTGGACTAGGTCTCATTACTACTGGAATCAGATTGGAGGTGGGAGTTTAGGACGCCAAGATGACAGAGGCAGGGGACCAGAGAGATGCCCCTGAAGGACATAACAGGAGATGAGGCACCACAAGTCCCGTTGCCATGACAACTCCTGCCCAGAGGACCCTGTCACACAACAACTCCCTCGACAGTTTCGGTACTCTAAATGACCAACAAGGGTGCAGTGGACAGTACTGTGATTAGGTTCTCTGCATTAACCAGTGGGAGCCAGGCCTGGTGCAAACACCTGTAATCCCAGTGACTCAGGGTGAAGGGTGTGGGAAATAACACCCCCCAAGAAAAGGGGGGTGACGGCCCACAGGGAGGAGGGAGAACATCGGGTCCAGGGGAGAGAAGGTAGACATCAGGCCCTGGCCCTGGGCCTTCAGCCCTTCCCAGGGATGATGAGTCCTGGGAGGAAGGAGGTAAACTCTAGGCTCTGGGCTCTGGTCAGTCATCCTTCCCCAGTAACAGTGGCTTTGAGCTTCTCCAGCTGTTTTCCTGAGTTAGATTTATAATCTGCACGACTAGTTTCCCGACTGCCCAGCCGGCACTTCCCAAGTCTCTAATGATTAAGTCACACTAAACATTCTGCTATGATTCACACTAAGACTTATAAAAAACAGACCCCTCTTGTCACCAGTCACCATTTTCACCCCTGAAAATGTGCCACTCCACTGCTCCTGGAAAAGACAGCTTGCTGATCCCAGGTCAGCTCCCATTTGGGGTTATTTTTGCTTACACAGGAAGCTGAGGCAAGAGGATTGTAAATTTGAGATCAGCCTCAGCAATTTAGCAAGGCCCTAAGCAACTTAGCAAGACCCCGGCTCAACATAAAATATAGAAAGGGCTGGGGACGTGGTCAGTGGTTAAGTGCCCCTGGGTGCAATCCCTGGTACCAAAAATTAATTAATTAACCAATGGGGGGAAACTGGACACTATTCTAGTCAGGTATCATAAGGTAACCAAAGGGAGCAAACAGGGAAGGTCTTCAATCAGGTCCATAGATGGAAGAGAACAGCCCACAGCTCAGCACATCAGCATATAAGACACTAATTTCCAGACACTGGGGCCTCTTGCTGAGTCCATTCTGCGGTGACTTCCACCTTCACCTTCCGCAAATCTGTACTTTGTCTGTCACTTGTGAGGATCTTGCTCAATTTTCTGGGACACCAGGGACCTGGACCCCACCTGGACACCCCAATAATAACAAACCTCCTCCAAGTACTAATATTCCAGAGACAAGTGTCGATAGTAGGGAATCAGGAAGATAAAGGAGCTAAATCCAGCCACTCAACAGCCAGAGGCAGGAAGATCACAAGTTCAAGGCCAGCCTGAGCAATTTAGTGAGGCCCTGTCTCAAAATAAAATCAGAAGGGCTGGAAGTATAGCTCAGTGATAGAGAACCATGGGTTTCAATTCCCAGTACTGCAAAAAGTAATAACTGTTGTTGTATTTTTGTTGTTGTTGTTATTATTATTATTATTACTATTATTATTATTAACATTCTTTGCAGAAGCCTCTGGAGGGTCCAGTGTCATCTTGTCATGGGAGAAAAGATGTCTCTGTTGAAGGGTCTGAGGAGTCCCAGAAGGGAGGGGGAACTGAACTCAGGACCCAGGGGATTCTTGGCCATGACAGAAAAGAATTTCGGCACAAGCCACACAAAGGCATAGACGGAGGTTTATCTAGGAAAGTGGATATACCTTCAAGGAAACAGAAGGGTTGTCTCGAGAGTGAGAAGCATCCCGGACTTGGGCTGAGGGCCCAATATTTATAGAAGGCTGTGTCAGGAGCTGGACTGGAGGTGGATCCAGGGTGGGCCTGCACAATTTCATGTGTTTTCCTGAACTTGTGTATTTTCCTCATTTTACAAGCATGTACACACCCAGTTTTGTTCAGGACACTTAGATCTAAGTGTTATGTAATTGTAGTTTCAAGTTCATGCCCTCACATCCGCTTCTGATCAAATTCCTAAATTCCTCTAGTCAGATTGGTCAGGAGCTTTCGGCAGAAATCAGACAAAGGAATTGGTGATCAGGGACCCATGGGGCAAGGAGAGGCAGAGTGGTGCAGTGGTTAGGAACACGGACTTGGAGGCACGAGATACCTAGATTCAAGCCCACTTGGAGGTCTGATAAAATGATAGTAGCAGAACTCACTCCATAGGTGCCACAAGAATGAAAGAGTTAGTAAATCTGAAGCTCTTTTAAGAGTATCTAGGGTGGGGCTGGGGCTGGGGCTCAGTGGCAGAGCGCTTGCCTTGCGCATGTGAGGCCCTGAGTTAATCCTCAGCACCACATAAAAATAAATAAACAAAATAAAGATTAGAAAAAAAAGAGTGTCTAGGGCATAGTAAGTGCTCAGTAAACATAACTGCCAGGTACTATTATGGGGAAAGATGTCCCAAGGCCTCTGGGAGAGACACGAGGGGTCCCCTGGCCTAAGATAGGGCTCCCCTCAGTGGAACAAACTGAAGAACAGGTGATGACCAGGTTCAGTCTCTAATACCAGTTGAGCCAATCAAAACCACACATTACTTTCTTTCTTTTTTTGCAGCAAGGATCGAAACCAGAGGCACTTAACCACTGAGCCACATCCCCAGCCCTTTTTATTTTTTATTTTGAGACAGAATCTTGCTAAGTTAAGACCCTGCAAAGTTGCTGAGGTCTTAAAGCACTATACCACCTCGATTTTGCAATCCTCCTGAGTACCTGGGATTACAGGTGTGTACCACCATGCCCAGATACCACCGATCTTTAAGCTGAGGTTCATTGTTGTTAGTCTCCAGTAATGCATGAGCATGGTCCAGAGCGAGCCTCCACCTCTTGGACTTTCCATGAGGTTGTGGGGCATGTGGAGTTGGCAAAGCAATGAAGGGAGTAGGGGCTGAGGAGCAGGGGTGGGGCTAGGTGGTCTTGAATTGGAAATGAGTCTCGTACCTCAAAAAAAGCCCCATCCTCCTATGACTCCTGCCAGGACCTGGTAAAGCTGAAAACCTGCTCATAATAACCAGAATCTAGACCCTAATACTTTTTTGTTGTTATTGTTTTGTCTTCACAGTACGTGGAGTTAAACCCAGAGCCTTGTGCGTGCTGGGGAAGCACTCTACCACTGAGCTGTGCCCCCAATTCCTTCTTAAATTTTAACTTTGAGACAGAGTCCAAGTTGCTCAGGCTTGCCTCAAAATTGTGATCCTCCAAAGTAACTGATATTTCAGGACCCTAACACACTTGACAGATAAATGTCAAGTTTCTTTTTTTGCACAGTTTTAATGTGCATCAAATTTTCTTTGTTTTCTCCTTTTTTTTTTTTTTGTACTCAAGTTTGAACTCAGGACCTCACTCATACTAAACAAGCACTCTACCACTGAAGGCTACATCCCCAGCCTTTTTAATTTTGAGACGGGGCTCACTAAATTGCTGAAGCTGGCCTTGAACGTGCCAACCTCCTGCCTCAGCCTCTACAGTAGGCAGGATTTCAGGTGTGCACCACTGAGCCCAGCTATATTTCAAAGTTTCCAAGAAAACAACTTTATTAAGAAGGGTTTGGACAGAGGCTGAGGAGTGTCTCAAGGATCCTCAAGAAGAGGACACCTAAACAGAGACCTGAAGAAGAATCAGGAGGTGACAAAGGGAAGAGAGTCTCAGACAGGGTGGCAGGAGGCAAAAGGGAAAAGAAGCTGAGTACCTAAATGATAAGCTTATGTCCGAAGACGTGCTCTTGGAGCAGTGGGAGAGTACTTTGCTGAGTTGCAAGGAAATGGTGCTCTAAGCAAAGCAAGAAAGCAGTAAATGCAAAGGTCCTGAGGCCAAAACATGCCTGGCACCTTTCAGGAACAGCAAGAGGAGCAAGGTGCCTAGAGCCGGGAGCATAGTAGGAACTGGGGAAAATGAGATGGAGGAGCTGGCTTATCTCACAAGAGTCTTGCATGCCATGAGACTGTCTTTTGTGCAGAGTGACGCAAAGAACCATGGAAAGGTTGTGAGTAGAGGATTGACAGATTTAAGGTCTGGGCACCGCCCTCCTCCCCCAACCCCCACACCCCTGCAAGACTGTAAGCAATAAGAGGGCAGCAACTTCGTTCCCTGCCAAATCCATAACCCTGGAAGCGCATCAGGCCATAGCCAGGCCTCAGGAAATGTTTGAACAAGTAAATAAATGGACGAGTGAAATGAGAGGATGAGACGATGAGTCTCATTTCTCTAAGGGATCTTCCTCCCACAGGGAGTGGAGACCTGCTCCACCTCTCATCCTCCGCCCCGCCCACTCCCGCCTTTAAGCTGCTGTGCGCGCTGCGGCCTCCAGAGGGCGCGGAGCGGCGGGGATTTCCGCACGGAGGGTTTTGCGTGAGGCACCGCGTGGGGCGGGGCCTGCGGGCGGGCGCCCAGCGTCTGGGCTGTGTCTACCGCTGAGCGGAACGCGGCAGCAGGTTTGGGGCTGTGCGGCGGCAGCCGGAGCGGTTTGAGACGCGCACGGGGCGAAGATGGCGGCGGAGCGACAGGACGCGCTGAGGGAGTTCGTGGCGGTGACGGGCACCGAAGAGGACCGGGCCCGCTTCTTCCTCGAGTCCGCCGGCTGGGACCTGCAGGTAGCGCAGCGAGGCGGGCCGCATCGGGTGGGCCGGGGACTGCCGGGCGCGGGCGCTTGGCGCTTTAAGCCCGAGGCGGCCGAAGCGCATAGTCATCCCTGCCCGGTCGGGGCCCGACCCAGGCCTCAGGGTGCTAGGGCCGCTGGCCACGCGTCACCGGCCCAGCTTGGGAGTCGGGGAACGCGGGCCAGCCCTGGCCTGCCCTGCCGGATCTGTTTCCCCCCTGCCTCTCCCGCTCGCGGCGTTGGCTAGACTTCGCGCACTGCAGCAGCCGCCGCGGTGGAGAGGGGTCGCCTGGGGGCGTGGCTGCCGCGCTGGGCGCTAGTTGCAGGCCAGGAGGGTCGGAGCCGCTGGCTCCTGGGTGGAACCACGCTCCCGACGACGCGATCCTTCAATTCCGTAGCCGCAACGTGGCGGCGGCGGAGGGAAGAACCTGGCCATGGAGTTGGCCCACGCCCCCTCTTACCTAATGCTGGGAGAAACTACCCCTGGGGAGGTGGCGCAGGGTTAGAGCCTCTTCCCCATAGTTAACTCAACTGTAAAATGGGAGTTTCTTGGAATTTACTATTTAATTCACTGGCACGTATTAAGTGTTCACTAAATACTTGTTGAATAAGAAGACAAGCTTCATGAGACAGGGATTTTTGCACACTGATGAGCCCCCACTGCCTAGAACAATGCCTGGCATGTAAGAAGCCCTCAATAATTAATTATAGAAGGAGTTGCATAAATGTTCTAGGCCAGCCTACGTCTTAGGTAGATGATGATGAATGACTAATATTTATTAAGTACTTACCACAAGCCAGGCACTGTACTAACTGCTTTACATGTTTTATGTCATTTAACCTTCACGTTTTACAGCTGAGGTTTGAGATTAAGTGGCTTTGCTCAAGGAAGGCCTTATTGGCTTCCAAGTGGGAGAGATAGGATCGGATCTCAGTTCTATCTGATTCTAACCAAACAAGTAAAGACTCGCCCGGTTTTATGGATGAGGAATTAACATCCCAAAGGACAAGGAATGTGCCCAAGGTCACACAGCCAGTAAGTAGTGGAGTTGGGATTTGAACTGGATCTGCTGACCGCACCACTTAAATTGCTTCCCAAATGTAAGAGTTAAAGCATCACATACCTGTACAGGCAAAGCCCAAAGGCCCTGTGCTGGGCAGAAGTGCGAAATAGAAAATCTTCTTCCTGAAAGCACATAGTGTAATGGTCAACAGGTCATCTATCTCATTGTGTCGCTCTAGGTGGAGAAAGTGGCTCATGTATGTGCTGTGACTTACCCAGCAGGGCCAGGACTTGAATGCAGGCTCTCTGAATGTCAGTTCATTTCAAGTTCCAAGATAATGCACTGCCTCCCAACAGGCTGATATGTCCCATGTTGGCTCGGTGCCTCCTGTACACTGACTATACATTCAGTGTCTCCTTGAGATTAGGAGTGGTGTCTTCATCATCTCTGTAGACCTCAGTGCTCTTTCTTATTTCTTTGTGCAGAGTGATTAGTAAATACGTGTAATTGAGCTGGTGAGAGACATATAATCACAAATGGCCAAAGGACTCTTATATAGTCCTTCTGTATGCATAGAGCAAAGAAATGATTGTGCTTAAATATTAATCATCTCATCCAGTGTGCAGGGTTGATGGGACAGGTGTCCCCATTTCCCAGAGTAAGACACTAGGAGTCAGGCACAGTGTCAACACCTGTAATCTCAGCAATTTAGGATGCTGAGGCAAGAGAATCGCAACTTGGGGAGGCATGTCTCGAAATTAAAAACAAAAAGGACTGGAGATGTGACTTAGTGGTAAAGCCCTTAGGTTCAATCCGCAGTACCAAAGGCGGGGGGGGGGGGATAGAAATTGGGCTTCAGAAAGAAAGGAAAAGTGGCAATTTGGAGGGACTCCACTTAAAGAATGAGGATCTGAGCATATTGCCTGGGATCAAACCTGGCTCTTCTCCTTAGTAACCTTAACCTTGGGCAATTTTCTTAACTTCAGAGTGCTTCTGTATCAATATAAAATGAAACAGTAATAGTACTAATCGCATGAGTTTCTGTGAGGAATAAATGAATTGACACATGTCAAGTGCTCAAAACAATTTGGCACATAAATGTTCAATAAATACATGCTGCTTTTACTTTGTAAAATATGAATGAAGAGTATCTTTTTTCTTGCCTTTTTTACCCCTTAGTGGGTGGAATTTCAGGTGACATGAAGTCTAACAGTTCATCCACTACCTTTTGGTCTAATTTTCTATGGCCCCAGACACAAGCCATTTTGTAAGTGTAGGCTGTGTCTATATTTTTGTTCCTTTGTGCTCAGATGAGATATGTATTAGGTGAAGGACTGTTTTAAGGGTCCCAAGGTACTACCTCTCTGTTTCAGATCGCGCTAGCGAGCTTTTACGAGGACGGAGGGGATGAAGACATTGTGACCATTTCGCAGGCAACCCCCAGTTCAGTGTCCAGAGGCACAGCCCCCAGGTAAGGGCCAACTTCACTTCCTGCTACATGAGCGTTTCCAGCAGTGATGAGGAGCTAGTTTCTGACTTAACAGAGGATTCAGACCTGGATTTGTGGGCCACTGGGTTCCAGTGAGAAAATTAGACCAAGTGTTGACTAGTAACTCCCTGAAAGCCTCATCATTTCCTGTGCAGAAGCATGTGTAACTCTTACCCAAGTGTTGTTATAATCTAAGTCTGGGAAAAACTACAAAATCTATTTTTTAAGATTTTTGAGGGCCTTTTATTTATGAAACACAGGGAGTGACTACTCCATCTCTTGACATTGTTAAGCAGTGTCACTGTAGATGTAAAGAGATTAGGTCAGATGCCTTTTGGGATGCTGCTTTGATATTTTGGGATGGCCGTTAATGCTATTAACTAGTATAGTGGCACATACCTGTAATTCCAGCTACTCCAGAGGCTAAGGCAGGAGAATGACAAATTCAAGGCCAAGCTAGGCAGCTTAGCAAGATCCTTGCTCAAAATGAAAAGAGGAGCTGGGATACAGTGGATAGGTGCTGGCATAGCATGCACAAGTCCCTGGACAGCCACAAAAAGAAAGATAAAAACAGGTCTTGTAGAAAATTAACCTGTGTAACCTACCCCTTCCAAAGTTGATTTAGGGAGGTGACACAGTGTTAACCTCTGGGATCCCATTTGCATCACTTTTTTGGCCCCTTGCCTCCCATGGCAGATCACTCTTGTGATCTACAGAGTGGGACAGTGCTGGTTATTTGAATTTGAATTCAACCCCAAATGCAAAAAGGATATTTCTTTGCCATGATGTGGTAAATTGTCTGTCTTCTGAGTGCATCTGAAGTTTAAGGCCATGTCCTCCCTTTGAATAAGGAACACAAAGTCCAAATCTCATTGCTCCCTTCACATCTTTCTCAGCCTCTTATCTCCAGAGAAAAGAGCTAATAGGAAAGTGATCTTTGAGTTATTTGCAGGTGTTAAGCTGTGAGGTGTTAGTAATGGCATATTGGGATTTTACTGCCTGAGATTGGTTGTTAGGATAAGGGTCATTCTTGCAGCTGCTGGTAGAGGTGGCTTATTTCCTGGAACATAAACCTTTGATATCTATCGTGGATCACTGTTGGGATGTTGACATGTCAGAAATTCCAAGGTAGAGGATTAGAAACTTAGTTTCTAATGCCAGTCACAAGTACACTCCTCTCCTCTGTATTAGTCCTAAAGTCCCCCAAGACAGTGTTCATTAAAGTAGGGGCTCAGGAACCTAACTGCCAAGTTTAAATTCCAGCTCTGCTACTTCAGAGCTTTGTGACCTTGGACAGATTACTTATCTCAACCCCTCAGTTTTCCCCACCTGTTAAATGGAAATGATATTAGTGCCTGCCGCACAATTAAATGAATCAGTACTTACATAGCACTTAGAGCACAGTATATGTTATCTCTGTTCTCATTTTATTTTTATCATTTTGGGTGTCCGTTCTCAACTTCTTGGTTCTTTGTACCCTGTCCCATTCCACAGCAAATACATATGTGTAAAAATAAACATTAAAGTAAAATAATCAAGGAAATAGAGTTTAACAGTAAGCCTGAAAGGAATGAAAGACTAGACACACATTTAGGCCTAAGAGGCCTTGTCCCGTTGTCTTGATTAAGCCTTGGTTTTGGTAATGGACTTTGGTGAAGCCTAGGAAGAGGAAGAAGGAAGGCACTGTTTGTTCTGTCATTGTCCTTGTCTAGTAGGAAAATGTCAACTGTATGCTCACCATAAGCCATACTTGTGCTAGCACCCGAAGGGATCTGAGGAGTGCCTGCTTCCCGCTGACCTGGCTGTTGCAGAGTACTTAACCTGCTGCTGTCATCTTCTCACCTTCCATTCATGGTGCCACAACTGCCCTGTAACCACAATCAGTGAGCTCCTCCGTCACTCTAGGACAGGGATGTTTGATGTGGAGCCTGTGAACTCCTAAGAGGAGTCTGTGGAATGGATATGAGTTGCTCTACAAATTAACTGGAATTATAGGCACAAGTTTGTATGTATTTCGGCAGATACCTTTTTTGGTAAAAGCGTCCATAGCTTTTATTACATTCTTAAAGGAGTAGACCTAAAAAGATTAGCACTTGCTATGGAAGGAGGTGTAAAATCCTCAGTGATAACAGCTGACGTTTATTGAGCACTTAGTAGGTGCCAGGCTCTGAGGTAAGCCTTCCCATACACACCTTTTTAGTCTTTACAACAACCCTGAGTTGAGTACTGTTATAGTTCCCATCTTACAGATGAGGACACTAGAGCTAGGCTTCTTCCAAGATCGCACAGTCAGTAAAACAAGGGTTTCAGGTCAGGGCTGTTCTGCCTCCAGCATCTCGGCTCTCATCCCCAGCAGCATACTGCTTCTCCTGTGGGCACTCAACACCTTTCTGAACTACCTTCCTAGGCTTTCCCCTTTCCTCATTTCTCACCTTTGTTCCAGCCAAACCAAGTTCTTTGGTGTCCCGGTACTGCCTTATTTTTGGTTTTGCCCTTGCTCAAGCCTCTCATCTGAGTGAGTGCCCACACTCTTGCCCTCTGCCTCCTCCAAGTTCATCTCCACCCCCACCTCTCTATTGAGCAGTACTCCACAGTCCTGTTCTTCAGAACTCCAGTTGCAACTCTAATTCATTCACTTTGACCATACCCACTTATTACTGGGTGACATCTCCTGTGTTGTCTTGAATTCTTCCTGGTATTTAACTTAATTTTTTCTCCCTAAGCAAATTGGAAGCAGGAGGGCTGGCACTTCAGGAACATTTACCATCTGTCTAGCTTGTCCAGGTATTCCCATCTGTATTCTTATATCTGTCATCAGCGTTGGGAATAGACAGTGCGCTCTCCTTTCATGTGTCATGGTGCTCAGTCTTAGGTTGAGTAACTCACAGATTCAAACGAAGTCTGTCTAAAACCACAGTTGCTTACACTGCCATAGGCTGTCTCACTGCCCAGCACCTCCCACCCCTGTCCCCTATATGCTGATCAGGCAAGAGGTAACGGTTTCTTCCAGTATTTTTCCTCTCTTATCTAACAAGATGTATAATTTGTTAGGATTTCAGGGACTGCCATTGTCAGATTCTCCAGAACTAAATTGTCCGTTAAGTTAGCTACTAGCCTAATGTGGTTATTTAAGTTTAAAATACTGAATAAAGCATTCAGTTATTTCTTTGCACTTTCCACATTTCAGATGTTCAATAGCCACACAGATACATTTCCATCTTCACAGGAAGATGCTGCCACACAGAACCAAGATGACCAGATTAAAAACTGAAAATATGATCTAATAAAGGATTTTGTGCTTCTTTGGGATTCCAAGTAGTCTGAGGAATAGAATTTTGTTTTTCAGTGTTCTGGGGAATATAGTTTTGATGGTCAGAAAAAAAAAAAAATGGAAATTTCTGAGACATTTTGTGAAGATCATAGGATAGAGGAATCTAACGTTGGTAATATGCCCGGGATGTTCATGCCATAAGGTGACTCTCAGAGCATTACTCCAAAACAGTGGTCTCAGACTTGAGGGTGCATCAAAATTGTCTGCAGGGTTTCTTAAAACTGGATTGCCAGGTACCCTTCCCAGAGTTTTTTATTCAGGAGGTTTGCATTGCATAGGTTTACGGGTGATGCTGATGTTCCTGATCAAGGACCATGCTTTCAGAATTGCTGTTCAAGAGAAGTACTTAAATGTGCCACAGTATGCAAAGGACTCTTTCTCCATCAGTACCTCAACCATACACAGAAAACCCAGGAAGCTAATGCTGGGGTTATTACTGTTTACACGTGAGAAAATGAAGACTTAAGAGAATTTAAATAGCATGCCCAAGATCCTACAGTAGGAGGCAGAATTGGGATTGGATTCACATACGTTGACACCAGAATCTGTCAGATACCTTCAAAATCTAGATGTGTGGATTTGGGTGGGGGAGGAGAAAACCTCCAACCAAAACCAGAGCAAGTGACTTGCTCAAGCAGACATACGTGTGTCTGTATGAAAGAGTTTAGCAACAGGGGGAGGGGTTTTCCCATGGATACTTATCCTAACCATATCACTGGAGGAGACTTTGGGCTGATCCTCTCTGAACTCCCCCCAGGGCAGGTGAGCAAGTAGAAGTAGCCTGTCTGGGCACCATAGAGATGTCAGCACTCAGATCCTTGTGAACTGTAGTGTATTTAGCTAAAGGAATGTCCAGTAGGCTGTTCAGCTAGCTCAAGCAGGGATTCTCTCACTTCTTGTTGAGGGAAGCTCGGAGCCTCTCTTATTCTCATTATCTACTTAAAAATCTTCAAGATGAAGCTGAAACTTTAATCTTTGTAAACAACTCCTCCTGTCTGGCCTCATGAAACCTCTGTTAGCCTCTACTCTACTCCCCATATTCTAGGAACGCTATTTTTTCCTGGGAGAAATACAGAAATATTTCATCTATAAAATTTGTGTCTTATTGTCCTTGAAAAACTAAGCCTGCTCTTGAGAACAGGTCTAAACTAGGAAGAAAGTAGTAGTGTAAGACAGCGTTGGAGGAGAGAGTTCACCCTCCTCAGGCCTCTGTTAGTGTGCTCTCCTCACCTGCACAACACTGCTTGTTTCCTAAGTATTAATAAACACCTTTTCTTAACTGACCTGCAGCAGAAGCAAGCAGGACCTCTCCCCGAGGCTGCCCACCCTCATGTTCATTTCATTTCTACTTCCTGACTCCTCATCCTTCCTGCAGTGTGTGACTGTACATTTACATATGCAGCTTCCCTGTAATGCTGTACTGTCCCCTTGCCCACCAGCCTAACCACCATTCATGCACCTGGTTGCCTGCCTACCCGTTCTTTGGCACTAGTCCACATGTGGTGTTTTAGCTGGGTGTGGTATCACATGCCTGTAATTCTAGCAACTTGGGAGGAGGATTACAAGTTTGAGGCCAACAAGACCCTGTCTCAAAATAAAAAAGTAAAGTTGACTGGAGGGGCTGGGGTTGGAGCTCAGTGTAGAGCGCTTGCCTAGCATGTGTGAGGCACTGGGTTCGATTCTCAGCACCGCATATAAATAAATAAAATAAATGCCCATTGACAACTAAAACAATATTTTTTTTTCTTTTTTTTAATTGGCTAGGGATATAGCTCAGTAGTAGAATGTCCCTAGATTTGGAGGGGGTGGGCTGGAATGGTATTTTTTAATGTTCTTCCCATTCCCTCTTAAGAGGCTCCATATTTGTGAGGCCTTATGAGCTGTCTCTGGGCCCCTCTGGCACAAAATTTAATGGATGGTTGCCTGGCCCGTCTCTTCTATTATGGGATGAACTGTACAGACCCAGCATCTATTCAGTGCCTGACATGCAGACAATCCCTCAGTATTTAAAATTTAAATTATGAAAACAGTTATCCAGTAGTATGCTTTTAAAGAAGTAAAGACCTCATTGCCCCCCTCCCAGGATAACTTATGTTAGATTCCCCATAATATCATAATATTATGATATTATCTCATAGTATCACTTTTTAATTTATTCTCAGTCCTGTGTGGCTTTGAAGAAATAAATGCCACATTATTTTACAAATAAGCTTAGGGGAGGTTAACCCTCATCTACATGCAGCTTCTCATCCCACAAAAAAAAAAATATATATATATATATATATATATATATATATATATATATATACACACACATACACACACATATACACATACACACACACACATCTCTAATTCCATTGTTCTCAACTCCGAAGCTGGTGATGGGGTTACCTTCTTTAAACTCCCCAAAATCATTTTGCTCCTTTCTGTGTCTCCAGTGATAATAGGGTGACATCTTTCAGAGACCTCATTCATGACCAAGATGAGGAGGAGGAGGAGGAGGAAGGACAGAGGTAAGTTTTTGATGGGGCACATCCCGCAGTGGTGCTTAGATCACCTAGAGCATGACATGGAACACATGTGGGTCACTGTTAGTCTTACTGCTGGAGATAGGGGTACATTCTAACCATACTCCCTGTAGCTTAGAAGTGATCCCTGTCCCCTGTTACTTTTCTCTCACCCTTTTGTGGTTGTATGGGTTTGTCTTGTTAAATTGTTTTTAAAACTGTGTATTTATTGATGAATATTATGGGACAGGAACAAATCAAAAGGAAAAAGTCATTCACATCAACACAGACATAACCGGGTGTCAGTACTTCTGAGGTATTTCTTTCCAGCTTTTTTCTTTTTACAGATAAAGCAGTACATCACATAATAAATAGAGTAATAGGCTTCTAAATGTGTGCTCCTCCAATACACACACACAGATTGATTTTATTAGAACATTCCTAAAAGTTAAAATCAATGTCCATTGTGGAAAATATGAACTAATATAAAATATAATGTTCACTTACCCTTTGATAACTACAGTTAATATTTTGGTGTATTCCCAATGGGTCTTTGTTCTGTGTTGTATTTTGCAAGGTGAAGATCAGATTTTGGTTTCTTTTGTTGGATTAATGCTAGGTCTTAAGCCCTTCATGTCATTAAAATTCTTCATGAGCGTGTTCTTTCTCTTTTTTGCCACTGACCTACATCCCAAGTCCTTTTAATTTTTTGAGACGGGTCTTATTAATTTGTGTAGGGTGACCTTGAACATGATGACCTCCTGCCTCAGCAGCCGCCCTGGTCTCTGGGATTACAGGCATGTGCCATCGCACATGGCAACTTCAGTGGCTAAATAATAATCTGTCATGTGGACTAACCAACATTTAGGTTGTTTCTAGTTTTTGTTTGTTTGTTATTCGGGGGTATTTTGGATTTTGTTTGTTTGTTTTTGTCAGTACTGGAGATTGAATTCAGGGCCTTGAGCATATTAGGCAAGTACTCTATCACTGAGATACATCCTCAGCTGTTTCCAGTTTCTTTACTACTATATATCAGTGCAGTGAGCATCTTTGTGTATTATTCTTTGACCCAATTTCAGGTTATTTTCTTACAATAATTCCTGGTGTGGAAATACCAGGTCAAGGGCATGCATATTCCTAAGGCTCTTGATCCTAGACTCCCAGTTCTTAAGCCAAGGCTTGGAGATCCTTTAGTTAAAAACCTTACAGTCTGTTGAGCAGAACTTTAGCTGGACTGAATGGGAATAAACTGGCTTCAGCCTCATTTTATGGGTTTTGGTTCTCCATGGGTCTGCCTCGGTCCACCAAATATTCCTGAGAAACATTGTATGTAATCATGGAAATGCAGCTTCCTCGCATTGGTTAGTCTTTGGCAAGAGGGCTGAGAAATTATATGTGTTCTCCTATTTCACCTATATTATGTTCCCCAGAACCTTCATTTAAATACAAAGTTCAGTAATATATGTTAATTTTAGGGTTTTATATTCCTTGAGTGAAATGTGTTGTCATTAAGTATGTGAATGCTAGGCTCCTAAATGGCCTCTACCGTTTCCTCTCCAGCCCTCCATTATTTCACATCCATAGCTCCCTTGGCCCCTCAGCATTTCAGACCTGAAATGACACTGCCCTGTCAGGACCTAAATTTTGCTTCACATTCCCAGGTGACTTCTAGAATTAGAGGATTGGAACTAATTTTCCTAGGTTTTGTGACTTGGCTGTGACTAAGAGTGATAAGAAGGCAGCTACATGACAACTGGTTTTCAGGCTCAAGTTAAAAAAAAAAAACTACTAATTTAATCTCAAGCCACCCTTAACCCATTACCAAGCCCCATGTGGTTGTGTGGGGGCTTGTATTTGAGATCTGGGCTTCCCTGGCCTTCTCAAGTACTATCTCCTCTGGTTCTCCAGTGTGTGTCACCACAATGGTGAGGTGAGTCTTGGGGGAGCTCTTGGTGCTGTCACACCACCTCACGTGTGTGCATTACTCTGCTTGTTCTTTTGCATACATCTGCTGATTTGAACCTCACCGCCCTGACTTAAGGAGCAGGTAGGTAGGGCATGCGGTTCCTCCCTCCCATTTCAAAGACAAGGAAAGTGTCCAGAATAGAGCACTGGCTTACCCAGGTCACAGTGGCAGAGCCAGTGCTGGAGCCTAGCTGCTGTACTAACCCTGCCACTGCCACCATTAACCCAGAGCTACTAGAGATAGCCTCACCTGGCTAGGACTGTAGTTGCTGTCTATTGAAGAGGCGCAGGGGACGGACGGTTCCTGGCTGGCATGCTCCTGTGCTGGCATGGTGCTGTGCATGCCTGAAATGCCCTTCCCTGACCCCTTCACCTGATAACTCATCCTCAAGACTCAGCCTGGAAGATGCCTTTGTAGGAAGCCGTGGCTGTCCTCCCCTCTCATTGTGCCTGAGTCCCCTTACTGACGTCATGGCTGCTCACATTGCATTGTGCCTGCCTGCCTCTGTTGTATGTGTCCCCAACTAGCCAGTAAGTTCCTTTAAGACGGGCATTGTGCCCTTTGATCCAGTGGGCCCAGCACTGGGCCCAGAACCTGGCGCATGCTGTGTTTGTTTTCTTTTTGTTTTCTATGTGCATTTAGTGTTAGAAGCTTATTTTCTACACAGGTTTTATGCTGGGGGCTCAGAGAGAAGTGGACAGCAGATTGTTGGCCCTCCCCGGAAGAGAAGTCCCAACGAGCTGGTGGATGATCTCTTTAAAGGTGCCAAGGAGCATGGAGCTGTAGCTGTGGAACGAGTGACCAAGAGCCCGGGAGAGACCAGTAAACCTAGAGTGAGCATGAGGGTCCCTGTCTGTGCCCATAAGACCCAGGGTTCCCCTGGAAAAGGAGACTTTGTTCATTCAGTCAGTCTTGACTGGTTTGTTTTCTCTCCCTGTTTGCTTACTTGGTCTCCTATGCAGAAAACTAATATAGTTTCTCCCATCCTTTAACATGCAACCACAATTGGGGGCAAAATTTTCAAACCTTTGGCCTGCAATCTAGATTCGGTCCTGCAGGCGTGTTGTCTTGGCCTATCCAATTTGACCAACTCAGGGGTTTTTTTTGTTCTAATTGACTTTAATTGCCACCAACTTGATATAAAATCTGAATTTCTGCCTTTGGGAAAATGAAAAAGACTTTGGAATTATCTGCTCCTGGATTCCTACATGGCTGTAATTAACTAGAGTTTAATATCTATTTCATCTAACTGTGCTCCCCCTCCCCTTTCCTGTTTTTACCCTAATCCTGGTTACTTAATTCATCTGCCATAGTGCCTGGCCCTGTGGGCACTGAGTTACTCAGAGAAAGCACATCTAGTGGTGAATAAGCGTGATCAGAATCCCTGCCTCTTTTCTTTCACTCACCTAAGATGCATCATTGAATCTAAGCCCTATCACCAGGTGTTTATGAACTTGTCCTTTATAGCCATTTGCAGGTGGTGGCTACCGCCTTGGGGCAGCACCGGAAGAAGAGTCTGCCTATGTGGCAGGGGAAAGGAGGCGGCACTCCAGCCAAGACGTGAGTGTGCCCGCCTTCCTCGGGGAAGTTTGGGGGCTATTTTGCCCTTTTTTCTGAAAGGGATCAGTTGTGTGTAGTATGTGAACCAGCAGCCTCCTTAAAGAGGGGGGGTCTGTAGAAATGGTGTCCTTGTGTGGTCTAAATAGAGGGGCTTGCTGGGGCGGCTCTCATCTGGCTGATCAGGGGGCTGGTGAGAAAGGATGGGGGGAGGGGATGGCCAAATGAAGTTTTCTGGGCATTCCATGGATCTCAGGCATATGGACATTGTATCTGGGATTCTCTATTTTGCCTTCTTACTTGTCCAGTACTTTTTTCCATATGCATAGGGACCTTCTCCCTATAATTTGCAATCATACCATATGAATAAATTTTAATCTTTTTAAAACATTAATATTATGCCACAAACACTTTCATGTAGCCTTGTGAATAGTTCCTTTTTTAAAATATATTTTTAGTTGTAGATAGACATCATACCTTTCTTTATTTTTATGCTGAGAATTGAATCCAGTGCCTCTCATACACTAGGCAAGTGCTCTACCACTGAGCCACAACTCCAGCCTGAATATAACTTTGTATAATATATGTTTAAATCATTTTGGGTTTTGTTCCAAAATAAAAAAAGTCAGTCAGAATTGAAAGTTAAAATCCTGTCTTCTTGTGGCAGCAGTTACTAAGGCATTTGTTTTTAGCCTTCTAAACTCTTCTGAGAATGCATATAGGGAGTTGTTGTTGACAGAAATTGTAGATGTCATTTTTTTAATGATTGCAAAATAGTCCAGGAGTAGATTTGCCAGGGTATTTTATTAAAACACTAGCTACATACCAACCACACTGGCAGTCCTACAGAGGAGCAGGCCACAGCTTCAATCGAGTCATCTGTCATCTGCTCAGAGCCAACTCACCAGTGAGTGGCAAAGTCAGGACACAACCCCAGGCTTCCTTAATACAATGCCTATGCTCCCAGCCTGTTCCGGGTCACCTTCTTACTTTAGGTTAATGCTTATTTGCTTGGTTGTTGATTGGTTTCCCTTTACACACATGTCTATATGTATGTTTGCTTGTCTGTTTAATAATGTGGTGAAATAGTAAAAGCTTACTGATTTGCAGGTTCAAATCAGTGTGCTTTCCAGGTTCCTGTCAATGTTTTAATTGCCTACCACCTGCTGGACTGGTAGCACATGTCTGAAATCCCAGCAACTCAGGAGACCGAGGCAGAAGGATCAAGGATAGTTTCAACAACTTAGCAAAACCCGTCTCAAAATAAAAAATTACAGAGGTTGGGGATGTAGCTCAGTGTAAAGTACCGCGGGTTCAGTTACCAGTACCAAAAATAATAACAACTGCTTACCTCCTGTCATCCCAGGTTCATGTAGTGCTGAAGCTCTGGAAAAGTGGATTCAGCCTGGACAATGGTGAACTCAGAAGCTACCAAGACCCAGCCAATGCCCAGTTTCTGGAGTCTATCCGCAGAGGGTAAGAGAAAAGCCCTCCTTTGAGTTCCAAATAAGTGAATGAGATGGCAATAGGAAAGGACGAGGCAAAACATTTATGATTTGAGAAATAAATTTTTTGAAGCAGGTTTAGCACAGTTGAAATACAGATGAACAGATCTGCTCCAAAAACATTGTGTCCATTTTTCACCTTTGGGTCTGGAGCAAAGCCAAATGGCAAAATAAGAAATAGTTGTCCACTGTGACCAAGGAGACAAGAGAAGATAGAGGTAGATAGGAAGCCACTGGAGCAGCAGGTCTCTACCAGTGGCACTCTCCTTACCCTCCATCCTGCCCTCTGCAAGCCCCAGCATTGCCTTTTCCTTCTCAGGGAGGTGCCAGCTGAGCTGCGGAGGTTAGCGCATGGTGGGCAGGTGAACTTGGATATGGAGGACCATCGGGACGAGGACTTCGTGAAGCCCAAGGGAGCCTTCAAAGCCTTCACTGGTGAGGGCCAGAAACTAGGCAGGTAAGGAAGAACACTGGCCAGGCCCAGCAGACCTTGTGTCCTCACTGTGGATAGCTTTTTACCATTTTCAGAGGCATTCAGATTTTATTTTTATGGGAGGAAGAATATGGAGAGTGTGGGCTTTGGGATTAACAACCCTTATAGGCAGGCTGCCTTCTCTCAGGGTCCCACTCAGCCTTGACCGTGGCCTTGGGTTCACTTTGTCAAGTGTTTTTCTGAAGGAACTGTTGCATTTGACAGGCACTCAGCAAAGTGTCCCTCTCTTGCCAGTACTGTCCTGGTTTTACATGCAGAAAGCCTCTGCTCTTTGGCTCTTAGCTTGCCCTTGGTTGGTGTGTGGCAGAGCCGGGATTGGGATTGAAGCCTTCTAACTGGCATTCCTTGCCATGCTCCTGCACAGCAGGACACCCTCTCTGCCTTTCTCCTCACAGCCATCTGAAGGACTCAGAGCCTGGTGTGCCAGCAGCGAGGCCCTTTTCAGCTTCTGGCTGGTGCTCTCCTGGTTTCCCTACCTCCCTGTTGACTATCCTTGCCAAGGAGCAAGAATCAGAGCTCAGGACACTAGAGACCAGTGGTTTGTGACTTACCAGAACCAAAATAGTTACATTAGCTGGCCTGCTCGCCTCATCCGTGTGCCACTTGGAGGGTGCTGTTCTCAGGTGAACTTCCATGGTAGCTGTGATGAGCTTTGGAGAGCACCTGATTTTTTTTTTTTTTTCTTTTTTTCATTTGTTATTAACCCATGAAGTCCCATCATTCTAGATGTGGGGCACCTATACAAAACTTAAATCAATCAACAAATATACCATGGTAACTTTTGAAATAAATGTTTCTGGAGGTTTTTGTTTATTTGGGGGTTTTGGATTTTGGTTTTTTTATCTGCCTCCCAAGCTGCTAGGATTACAAATGTTCACCACAGCACCCAGCTAGAGTTCTATTCTTGTTTGTTTGTTTTGTACTGGGGGTTGAACCCAAGGTGCTTTACCACTGATATCCCCAGTTCTTTTTATTTTTTTATTTTGAGACAGGGTCTTGCTAAATTGCTGAAACTGGTCTCAAACTGAATCCTGCTTCAGCCCTGAGTCACTGGGATTACAGGCATGCACCACCAGGCCTGGCTGAGTCTCAGGATTTGAAATTATGACAAGAAAGTATCTTAATGCCAGTTTTTTCCACTATGAAGGCAATGAACAGTTAGGTGGCTGAGGGTCTTGCTCTGAGAGACTCAGTTTCCTTGTGACTTGTGAATGTTTACAGTGTTTGCAGGGAGATACTAGAAATGCCTTGTTTTCTAAAGTCTGCTTCAGCCTCTCCAGCCTCTGGGTGAAATGCCCTCACTTTTGCAGTAGCCCACATGGGAGCAGTTCTCAGGAAACTAGATACAGGTTGGTCCTTTGGACAGAAGCGTGCATCTGTCCTACGTGGTGAACTAATGCTCTTGAGCATCTCACTCTGAGGCCCAGTGATGGAGTTTCTCCTCCACCCAATCCACCCTGAGAGCAGCATTGGCTGGGAGTACCTTGTAGGTGACTTCCACTTACAGCCCATGGGTAGACAGTGCTATTGCCAAGTGATGGCAAACATGATGGGGCAGAATCTTGAAAAAAGATAGTAATCAGCTATTTGAGGGGTTTGCTCCCTCAGCTGAGCACTGTGAGTCATTTCCATGCATCGTCTCCTTTAATCCTGTTTTGATCCCCATACTACAGATAAGGATTTTGAGGCTTGGAGAGGTCAGGCCTTGCCCAGGGCCACATTGCTGGTCAGTGCCACACAGGGTTCCCTCCAGTCTCTGCTCTTGTCCGTCTTGCTGAAGGTATCCTAGATGTTCTTCACAGCCACGTAGACATTTTTGTATATGCCTGGTACAGTGCATATTTTTAGCTATTTTCTCAACCTTGGAGGGTGTGCTGAACTCTTACTAATGAGGAAACTGAGTCTTGGGGTCAGGTTCCTGAAATCCAGGCCTTAATCTCTCTGACTCCCGGATCTGGCACAAGAATGTGACAGTGTTAAAAGAGCACAGGACCAGAGCCAGACAGCTTGGCTTGTATCCTGGCTCTACCTCAAACCAACACTGATATCTTGGGCAAATTGCCTGACCCCCCTACACCTCCATTTCTTATCTGAAAAATGGAGGTGATGAGCCCCCATCTTGTGGGCTGAGGCATAAGTGAGTTCATATGTATAAAGTGTTCAGCATAGGAATTGGCTTGGTAGAGGTACTTCATAAGCAGCTCTTGTGTTCATCATGCTGTACCATGACATGAATACCTGTCATGTGTACTTGGACTTGTTCTTAACTTGAGGGGTCTGCTGCCTGTAGTCTAATTGGAGAGTTGGCCTAATGCCCCTAAAACTAATGAACAAAACAGCTTTAGAAGAGAGGAGGCATTTACAAGCACTTGCACTATTTCTAGGCATCTCTCCTGCCTGGGACGGTGTGATTTACCTGTGGGTTCTGCCCTCATTTGAATCCAATGTGCTGTGAGGCTGATGAGCAGGAGCAGTTCCTTATGCACAAATGTGGCAAGCATTCGCCTCTGAGCTCCAGTTTGTCTTCTCTAAGCCTATATTTCACTTTCACAGAAAAGAATGTTGACTTTTTGTTATTTTTTGTTCCCCGGCAGTGTTTCACACACTGGTTTCCCTGACTCCTGCTGCAGGAGGTTAGTAAGTGTAACACCTGAAAAGGGCCTGGTAGTCAATGAGATGCCGTCACTGCTCCTTTCTCAAGGCACTGAACATGCAAATGCCCTGATGCCGCTGGAATAGTATGTGATGTTTCCTAAACCTTCCTGCAGGTATCTGAAGGGACAAGTGTACTGTGGAGCATACTTTGAAGAGTACCCTCAGTTGGATTTGCTACAAATACCCTTTTTTACTGATTTATTTTGGTATTGAGGATTGAAGCCAGGGCCACTCTACCACTGAGCTTACACCCCCAGTCCTTTCTTCCATTTTTATTTTGAGACAGGGTCTCTCTAAGTTGCTGAAACTGGCCTTGATCTTGTAATCCTCCTGCCTCAGTCCCCCAGGTTGCTGGAATTACAGGTACCCCCTATGCCTGATTCCGCAAGTATGCTTTTTTAGGTCATAAAAATTGGAAGAGTTAGGTACAGGAACTTATCTAATTAGGTGCTTTTGAAGAGAAGCCATCAAACTCTTACCTAATGGCCTTTCTTTGCAAAGTTCTAGGCCAGCTATCTGCTAGGAGGAAGGCTAAGAACAAGGCAGGTGGGTGGTTTAGTGCAAGAAGGCTCATGGAGAACTGGGAGTGAGTTGTATGTGCATTTCATCCATCACCCAGACTAGTTCATGCAATTCTCCTTTAATTTTCACAACAACTAAGCAAGACAGGCAGCCTCAACCCTGGTTACCAGTCCTTGCTAACTGCTGGGTGTAGTGTTACATGCTGTAATCCCAGCTCCCAGGAGAGAAGGCAGAAGGACCACTGAGTTAGAGGCCAACCTTAGCAACTTAGACCCTGTCTCAAGTTAAAATTTTTTAAAGGCTAGGGATGTAGCTAAGGATAGAATGCTTGCCTAGCAAGTGTGATGCCTGGGTTCAATCTCCACTACCACACATCAAGAAAAGGTCCTGTTACATTTGTTGAAATTAGGGGAGCTTGATTAACTTGCCCAAGGTCACTGAGCTAGTGGGTGAATTCACACCCTGGTCCACCCACTTCTAAGATTTGATCTCAACACTGGCAGACACCATATCCTATTCACTGTATAATGAATCCCAACAGACCTGGCATTCGTGCCAGTGATGGAGGTGAGATGGGGCCTTTGGGGGCACATGTATGTGAGATACACACATGAATGAGGTCGCACTGAGGGCGCAGGCCTGAACATTTCATCCCAGCTGGTCACTTGCCAGACTGTGCCAAGGCTGCCTCTGCCACAGACATGGAGTGTTCCCCTCAGCTGCTGTTGGCTCCTCCAGTCTTGAGCCTGTCTCTTCTGCCTCAGGCTTCCTCCCTTCAAGGCCTTGGGCAGGTGAGGACGAGTAACGGGCCCAAGCCTCCTCAGGAGAGAGGGAGGCAGCAGTGACTTGGTGCTAGGGTGGATTCTCCTGGGCCCGCGAGTCCCTCAGGGCTGGGATTCCTCCTGTCTGGTCTCTAGATCAGCAGCACCAAACACAGGCCAGGATCACATCTGATGTCCACCAGCATGCTGAGACGAGTCCCTCCCTGTTCTTGTGCTGATGTGCCTCTCTCCCCTCAGCACGGCCCCCCAGTTGTTGAACACGAGCTCCCCAGCCCAGCAGGCAGAAAATGAAGCCAAAGCCAGCTCCTCCATCCTGATCGACGAGTCAGAGCCGACCACAAACATCCAGATCAGGCTTGCTGATGGCGGGAGGCTGGTGCAGAAGTTCAACCACAGCCACAGGTACCGCGTGTGGCCTGGCCTGGCCTGGCCTGGCTTTGCTAGCAATGACCTGGAGCCTGGGAAGCAGGGAGCTGTTCTGAGTATGAGCAGGCTTTCCCTAGGCAGGGAGGAGGGGCACTGCGAGTCTGAAGCCTTTGGTCCTCCTCTTCCATTAGTGTGCCAAGGGCAGCTTACTCCTTCCTGTGGGTCTTGTTCCTCATCCTTGGGATTTTTAAGTCACCAGATTCTTTCTTCACAGGAAGTATCATACCAAAGCCTGGGTACAGAAGAGATCAAATTAGAACTGCTGTAGTTGGTGGAGGAGGAAGGTGCAGGGCCCGCACCCCACCCACCTGGCTTCTTCCAACTCTCTCCCCCAGGGCCTCTGAAAACCACTAGGCTCTTAAGATTTTTCTGGATCTGGTCTTTGGGAATTCTGGGAATACCTGCTCACTGTCTCAGGCTGTCTGGGATGAGTCAGGCCAAACTCTCCTCTGTGTGTTAGATGGAAAAAGTAAGGCAACCAGAGCTGAAGAGACCAGCAAGGGAGGTGCTGAAGGGCTATCACCAATAAAGACATGTGACAGCCCCTCTTTTGAGAGCAGGGATGTCTTTAAATTTCATCAGTCATGGGCCAACCAAGCCTGGACCCATATGTGGGGCCAGGGTTTGGCATGTAACAAGCCCAGGTGTGAGCTGGAGCCTCGGGAGGCTTGCCTAGGTGTGAGCTGAAGGAGGAGTGGCCCAGTTTGCTACCTGAGTTATTGCCTCAGTTTCAGTCCACTCAGAAGCCCCAGAAGGATACTTTCATCCTGTGGAAGCCTGTGCTGGGCACTGGTGAGGACTGGTCTTCCCAGGCCTCGGGTTGCATCATGCACCCCCAGGCCTTGAGCTGGTGTAGATGCATAGAATCCAGGGGTTGGAGGGGAAGGGAACTTTGTGGAAGCACTCTAGGGAGGAGGCTATTCCTGGGGACATCATTCTCATACCAGGTTCAGGACACAAGCAGCAGGTAGAGAAGGAATTCCTGGCCCTGAGGAGTTGCTGAAAGAGCTTCAAGTGCCTCTCAGGAAGGGACAGTGATTCCAACGCATCCCAGAGTGTTTATTTACAAACTTGATCATTGCTGTGACAGGAAGTGGGGTGGAAACCAGGAGCAGGCAAGGCTGCCCTGGGAGAGGCATCCCGCTGAGGCCCGCGGTGTGGTCAGGGTTCCCGGCAGGAAAGCAGAGAGCTTCTGGGGAGACTGAATGTGGTAGAGGAGTGTGGCCTGATAACAAAAGAGGGAGAAGAGGATGAGGGGGAGGGCGGGCGTCCGTGGCAGCGCACTGGGGATGTTGGGGTTCATCTGAAGGAAGCAGGGGGAGGACTGGCCTCATACTTCCAAGTGACAGCTTGGCTGCTGCTTGGAAAGGGGCTCTGAATGACTCGTCCTCTGAGAGTCGGGGTGGTAGGCACCAGGGAGGGTCCTGCTCACCGCCTCCGCCCACCCCTACTCCTCCAGGATCAGCGACATCCGACTCTTCATCGTGGACGCCCGGCCAGCCATGGCTGCCACCAGCTTTGTCCTCATGACTACCTTCCCAAACAAAGAGCTGGATGACGAGAACCAGACCCTAAAGGAAGCCAACCTGCTCAACGCCGTCATTGTGCAGCGGTTAACATAACCACCTGGCCGCTGCCTCATACCCTCCTGTGTCTCCACGCTGCAGCCCTGCCCCGTGGGGATCAGCCCTCCTGTCCCTGTGCACACCCAGCGGTCCAGTGCCACGTCTCCTCCGTTGCTCTGGGTCCTTAGATCTCAGTTGGACATTTGTTTTCTTCTTAGTTGCATTTCCTGGGTTTTTGTGACGATCAATGAACTTTAAAGAAAAAAAAAATAAAAACAACCAAAAAAATTGAAGAAATATCACCAGCATGTTGTATGGAAACTCACACTGAAGTAGACTTTGATTGTTATAAAATCTTATCTTGGCTTGGTGGTGGGGGGACTTTCCTTCCATCCTCCATGAAAATTGCTGTGGCATACAACACATCCACATCTCTCCCGCCACCTGAGAGGTGACCAGAGGATTTCCCCCTCTACAGGGATGGAAGGGGCTTTGCAGCTGCTTGCTTCCACAAGAGTGTATCATTTGTCACAACTGCTACACAAAAGGCCCCTGAGGGATGAGGCCTGGGCTGTGGACACTCCCTCCTTCAGGAGAAAGAATTTTGCGCTGTGTGCCCTTCTCTCAGCCCTGGGAGTCCACTCCCCCACCCTGACCAGCTAAGCTTCTGCTCCTGCCCCAGGCCTTTGCCCCCTGCCACCCAGGTTGCTCCCTGGTGATTCTCAGTTGTGTCATGCTTTGTGTGCTCCATGTGCACACGTCTGTACAGTGAGGGGGGGGGGGGCATTTTTCCTTTGGATACAATTCATGCCAACCCAAGTAAGTGCAGTCCCGGTATGTTGGCCTAAGAAGCAGAGTCAGAATGGCACTGAGCTTTTCACTAACTCTGTGTGGCCAATCAAGGGTTGAAAGGTGGCTGTCCTGGACTACAAGCACCCTTTGCCATGTTGGTGTTCTTTTTAGTTTTATGACTGGGCTGAGGATGGAGCCCAGGGTCTTACGCATGCCAGGCAAGTGTTAAATGTCCCTAACCCCCATGTTGGTTTGCAAGAGTCTTCAGTGAGCAAATCTTGAGGACAAGTGTAACATCAGCACGTGACTGGGCTGCGGGTCTCACCCACAGTGATCATCTGCCCTGCTGACCTCCGACTTGCAGCAACTTGGGCAATGGTTGTGGCCTGGTGAAGGTCCTCCACCCCGTCACTTTGCTTCCTCACCAGTGTGGGGAGGAGGGACACCTGGTCTTGGGTGGGACCTTTTTCCACTGACTGAATCTGCCAGCCTTGTCATAATGTGCCTCCCTCCCCCTCCACAGCAGTCAATATCAGTCACTGGCACTTTCCTGCTTGGCCCCTTCCCTGCACCAGGAACCAGCATTAACCACAGGAAGGGAGGCAGAGGAGCTTCTGGAAAGACCCAGATTCTCAGAGCTGCAGAGGGCTCATGGTTTCAACCAAGGGTCCTGAAAAAGGAACTTGGTTTGGTGCTTCCCATCCCAAATCTCCCAAACACAGTGGCCTCCCCAGGCTACAGCATCTACCGTGATGTTCTCTCTAGTGGCGAAGGTAACTGCAAATCTGGAAACATGAAAATTACTGTCACCTTGACCATTAAAATCCAGAATGAGGACATTGGAGTTCATACTTTCTAACAGGTTGCCTGGAGGGAATTACCGCAGCAGCCATCCTGAGTGCTTTGGTATATGACAAGGGTCCCACTTTTGGTGCCAAACCTAAAGCCCAAACCACAGACTAGGTATGAGTGGGGAGGTGCCACCAGCAGCCTCTAGAACCCATGCTCTAACCCCAGCCCTGTGTGCAGGCATTCAGGACTCACTCCCTGCCCTGCCTACCTACATTCAGGCCCTCCAGAGAGTTTCTGATTCATTAATTAGCACCCATCAGAAGAGATCCTGAAACACCCAATTACACCCTGCCTCACCTATAGTAGTTTGCAGAGGGCTCTGGGATTTGCTCCCAGCCCTGGGACGTGAGTGCAGCCCACCCTATCTATAGCTGATGCGGTCCAGACAGGCCAGCATCTGGCCCAAGGCCAGAGAGAGTGCACTGATCTGATTCTAGGCTGGGGAAGGAAGTTTCCAGCCCCCGGTTTTCTGTTCTGGTGGCTGAGATGAAAAGGTCCATTCACCCAGAGGGGATTCTCGGGATCCTCAGCCACTAGTCCCAGGGCTTCTTAATTCGGGGCATTGTTCTCCACTGGAGCATTTAGGGTCATCCCAACATGGCTGGTGAGTAAGGGAACCACCTGGTGTTAATGGGCCCAGCCTAGCATGCATTGTAACACCTGGGATGTGTCCCGGTGGAAAGACACCCCAAATCCACCAGTGAAAGGGCAAGTTAAGTATTGTAATGCAGATTCTCTAACAAGTGCAGTCTAAACTAGTCCCCTGGGACGGATGCTGTTTGGTCTTGTTAACCATGCCAACATCCCTGTCAACAGACCAGGTTGCCTCCTCAGGAGAGAGCCTGGGAGGAAGTGGCCTGTGGGGCATGTCTTCATGCTTTGGATGACATCGTCAGAGTGCCTTCCAGAGGGCCAGCAGCCCTGTTTGCCCACCAATAGCACAAAGCATATCCTTCCCTGCCAGGGCCTTCAAGGTAACCTGGTGCTCATTCAAGAAATGCAGCTGGTGAAGACATGTGGGTTCCCTGCTGCTCCCTCTAAATCAACCTCCAGGGAACTGCTGCCTCCAGACACCCTCCCAGGCTCAGATAATAGGAGATCTTCCTGTTTTCCAATGTGCTTGATTCCTGTGTCTGGTATGCTGCTGTGGCCTCCCAGTCCCCTCTTCCTGGCCAAACTCTTCTCAGGCCAGGCCAGAGAAGCAGAGTGAAAAAAACCTGCCCTCGGATCGTGGACCTTGCCACTCTGTTTCAGTGGCCTCAAACCTCTCACCACATCCCATTGGCAAGTGCTCCAGGGGCAGCTTCAAATCTGTACCAAACCCAGCCAGTTCCTCCCCTTGGCCACCCTCTATGTCTCACTCCTACCCTATGGTATCCTCCTCATCTCTCCCCTGCCCTGCCTCTGCCCCTGCCCTCCATAGTCCTCATGCCCACCCTTTTCTCTACAGCCCTTAGGAGCTTCCTGTTTTCCCTGGAAACGTCTAAGACTCAAAGAGCCCAAGGACCCAGTCCCTGACCCCCACCCACTTTCCCTGTGTCTTGTTTTATTTCCCTGGTTAGCCTCCCCATCTGGTGCAGTGTACATTTTCCATTCGTGTGTTTCCTGTGGCTCACCTCTGGAAACTAAGCCGCCCAGGCAGGAATTTGTGCTTTTTTTCTTTCTTTTTTTCCTCCTTTTGGTATCAGGGATTGAATCCAGGAGTACTTAAGCACAGAGCTACATCCCCAGCCCTTTTTATGTTTTATTTTGAGACAGGATCTCACTAAGTTGCTTAGAGCTTCACTAAGTTGCTGAGGCTGGCTTTGAACTCATGATCCTCCTGCCTCAGCCTTCCGAGCCTCTTACAGGCATGTGCCACTATGCCCAGGACAACAGGAATTTTATAAGTGTAAATAATACTTGCCATTGAATGAGCTCTTGCCAGGCACTGGGAACACTTTATCAAGCATGATCTTATTAAGTCTTGACCCTCCTGTGTGGCAATTGCTTTTATCCGCCTGCCTCTTTTTCTTTCAGTACTGGAAATAGAACCTGGGGCACTCCGCACTGAGCTACATCCCCAGCCCTTTTCTTATTTTTTAGAAACAGGGTATTTTGCTAACTTGCCAAGGCTGACCTCAAACTTACAATCCTCCTGCCTTAGACTCCCAAGACACTGGGATCACAATGTGTATCTCCATAAATGACCATTTTTATTGACATTTCACAGAGGAAACCAAATGTCTTATAGATAGCAATCACCCTATACATCAGATAAATGAACTGAGAATCAAAGAGGAGAAACTTTGTCAACAACATGCCACTAATAAATGACAGAACTGAAATTCCATCTAAGAGCTGTTTAACTCCATCCTCATGCTCTCTGACAGGAGCTTATTTTATTATTTATTTTTGAAGACAGGGTCTCACTATGTTGCCAGGGCTGGTCTCAACCCCTGGGCTCAAATGATCCTCCTGCCTCAACCTCCCCAGTAGCTTGAACTACAGGGATGTGCCACCATTCCCAGCTACAAGCTTATTTTAAACCAGGTTCTGTGCAAACCTCATGCAGCGGGTAAAGGTCAGGCTCAGCAGACTGCTGGGTACTGATTATGGGACCCTGGAAAGTTCCTAACCTGACCACCCATGTGACAGTATATTAAGATAGAACTATTTCCTTCTCAATTTGACTGAGGCCCTGAGAAAAAGGAGGCCCAGCATCCCTACAGTCCAAGGTGAGACGCCGCCCACACAGGGCTTACAAAGACGTCGAAAAGCAACTGTGTGACTCTGGCTCTTGCCTCACACAAAATGCAAAGGGTGGGGTTGTAGGTCAGAGAAGAGTTTTCTTTGAAGGAAGCTGCTGAAGGGCACTGAGTCCACAGAAAACGGGGAGCAGGCTTTACTTCCCTTAGGGGTTACAAAGGTACCAGACCGCTGCCTCATGCCCAGCCAACTCAAATGGAAGAGGCTGCTGGAACAAAAAGAACTGGGGAGCCTAGACCCCGAGAGTCTACAGGGCCCGGGGACACACAACATCTCCAGTGGGCTGGAGGGGGGTCTGCAGAGCCAGCTGGACGGACTGCCTTGAGTCCCTCCCTGCAGGGACAGAAGGACCTGGGTGGAGGATGGATGTCTTACTCCAGGACTGAGACAGAAGCAAGCAAGTAGTCAGAGACGTGCACTTGGCCTCCTCTAGGGAAGTACGGGGGAGATCCCCCACAGTGGACCAAGAACTGAAGAGCCCACAAATGCTCCCAGAGGCAGGCTTGGAGCATCCGTCCTGGCCACAGGGAAGCCAGCAGGTCCTTCCCTACCCCTGCCTTTAGTTTTTCCTACTCCTGCAACCCTGGCCCTCATGGATCAGGAGAAACTGTGCCTCTAAATGAAGTTCAAAATCTTGACTTCCCAAAATCTTCCCAAAAAAGCATGGGAATGGCTTTTATTAAAAATTATTTTAAGACAGGCAATATATTCACAAGATTCAAATTCACAATGTAATAGTATTCACAAAGTTCTCCCTTTGCCTCTTCTCCTGCATGAGAAGTCCCCTACCCTCCCTCCCCACCATAAATTTCCTGGGTGTCCTTCTAGAGTTCCTAAATATAAATCAATACTCTATGTCTAGTCTAAAGCTATGTTGTTTTTCCACATTTTAACACCTCTAAAATCAGATGCATCATGTGACCAGGCAGGCCCGACATCACTGAAAACCATAACATTTATTTTGCCTATATGTTTCCTTGTCACCTATGCCTAAAAGTGACATATGATATAATTTAATGTCTATATAAGTAGACGAGCTCTCAAAGTGGTCTTTCTTTATTAGTGGCACATAAGTTAATGCTGATTTTGTCACCCCTGGCATCTACTGTAATGATTCTCTGGCAAATGGCAGCCTGCTTACCTGTCCACATTTTTTTTTCCATTTAACAGTAGATTTTGGAGATAGTTTGTTGGGATAGACATGTGGGTGTCCCCAGTGTTTTGCTATTACAGATGGTTATGTGAAAGGGCAGCTTCTGTGTGCAAAACTATGGAGAAAGAAAATTCCAAAATGTGGAAATGCCAGGTCAAAGGGCTCACCAACTCCCTCCTGCCCTGGGCTTGAGCCTGTCTTTCCCAAGATTCACCAGCAGAGTGCACTGTGAAGATTTGTTAGCCAGGTGAGGGACAGATTGCTCTTCTATGAATAAAGGACGCCATTTATGGAGTTCTTTTCTGTACCTCGTTACCAGCTGTATTCTTCTCATGCATTATCTCATTTAATCCTCAGACCGACCCCATAAGGCATAAGCTTGGTTACCAAGGCCATATATAAGTATAGGAATATATATATGAACGTGTGTGTGTGTGTGTATAGTTGTAGATGGACACAATACCTTTATTTATTTGTTTGTTTATTTATTTATATATGTGGTGCAGACCCAGGGCCTCACATGTGCTAGGCAAGCGTTCTACCACTGAGCTACAATGGCCCCAGTTACCTTTTTTTGAAAAATCAATCATATATTTCTTAAACAAATACACAATAAGTAAGGGTGTTTCAACATGAATATGCAATAAACAACTACAAATATTCAGGGGCAAAGAATGAGATGTGTCCAATACTTCTTCAAAAGGAAGATCTTGGATCAAGGGATAAATATAAGCAATCAATAGGCTGTGGGATACTTGTACAGTGTATCATTTATTTCACTGGCTTCTTTCCCCAGATAAAGCATTCGCACTTAACATTTCCCTTGTTCTGAAAGAAGATATCATAGCTTAATACTTTTTGTGAATAACTTTTTTGTGGGGCTATTAGGGTTTGGACACAGGGGTGCTTAACCATTGAGCCACATCCCCAGCCCTTTTTACTTTTTATTTTGAGACAGGGTCTCACTAAATTGCTTAGAGCCTCACTAAATTGCCCAGGCTGGCCTCAAACTTGTCATCCTCCTGCCTCAGCCTCCTGGGTGGCTGGGATTACTGGCATGCACCACCATACCTGGTGTAAACAA